TTTGAACTAACGACCCCGTTTAGGACGCTTGTTTCAAGAGTCTCTGGTTCTCTGATTTAGAAACTCCTGCCTGAGTTACATGGTAGAATAACGACTGTGACTAGCGAGTTCGTCCGAACCCACATAAGTGTTCTAAAAGCCGTCCTCGAGCAGACGGATTAACTACGTGATTTCAAAGGGACCCGGTGCCTAATTGAACGTTCAAAATCACCGCTCTACAGACAAACTTAGTCGGCGTGTAGACAAAGCTTGCAAACGTTATCTTATAACACTGTATTCGCTTCGAAGGGGAGACCGCGCTTTTCTCAAAGTGAACTGGTGCTCTTGTGTCATGCGACCAGCCGAAGTCGCATCCGATTGCATTCGGAGACTACTATTGCTTGGGGGCTCAACCGTGACCGCCACAGAGGATAGGAGTCTGTCTTGTCTTGCACTTCTGGCTCCATCATGACGTCTGGTGCTGGTTGGGTGAGAGAGCGGAAGAAATCTGGGGCTACTTCTAGAGCATGTTTGTGCATCGGGTGTGATGTCGGTAACGTACTCAGAATTTTAATCTTCTCGCACCCAGTACGCCTCTATCAGCAACAGATTCGTTAAATGCGCATCTTGCTTTCGATCCAGTACTTGCGTGCAGTAATTTGGCTGCACGCACTCGGGCTAGGTGACGCTAACAGCAGATCCTATGTGAATAAGGCACAGCGCCCGAGAGGCTTTAGTTTGTATTAGAAATCTAGTCCTGCTGCTAGAGACTCCAATCAATCCTGCATTTTGGAAGCTAGCTAATATAAATTAATAGATCAATCAACATAAGTAGAGCTGGGGTCGACTATCCCCTTACAATTCGGGGACCGTCAAGTCCGTTTAGATCTGCCCAGCCTACTCCGGACGGGTCCGACGGGATTCGCTGTGCCTCCGCTTAGCCTTCGGAATTCTGGCGTAGGCTATTGTAAGTCTGTCTCCCAAAGGCGAACATGCCTTTGTCGATCGCTATCTAACAGGAAACACGGTGCTAATATTGCGATATCACTGAACGGTACCTGCCTCCGCTACCAGCCTCTTTCATCAATGTCTCATTCTCGCAATATTATCCCACCCGTCAGGGCGAAATGATCGCTCACAGCTCTTCCTTGGGGTGACCTACACCAGAAGTAAAAATTCAGTAAATTTTGCCGTAGGTTGAATGGCAACCACGTTGTTTAGTAAAGTTATGGACAGTGCACGCCAATCACAAGTGTCGTACGACGACCTCGGTTACTCGGGTGCTCTGGCGGGTCCGAGCACACCTATTATCATCGGGGCCGTGCTTGGCAGATGAAAGCATCGAAAGCCGCGTACGATAGGGTTTCATCTAGATAGGGGTTCCACTTGACCATGAGCAAGTCTCGACCCGTGGTGAAGAGTCGATTGTCGGTTTCCAATCTAGATTAGCCCTCTTCCCAAAGGGTTAGTAGGGAGTCCACAGTATGTATTGTCGCCGCAGCTACAGCGTATAGCGGAGCGTTCTTAGGACGGTCAAACTCATATGCCTTGCTCAAACGGTTTTACCAGAGTAACTCGTGTATCACGATCTCTCCGATGGCATTGATCAGTTGTAATGTGATTTCATCGATCAGCTTAGGGCGCAATTCAGAAGGAGTTTACTTTCGCGGAGGGCCGTGTGTCACGCCTCATTACGAGGTCTGAAGTAATCCGGCTTCATAGTTAGAAAGGTTACCCTCATGGAGAAACTATTGGAGTCAGCTACAGACCGGAGATAGTATGACCGTATCCCACCATGATTGAATCTCGATATGAGCCGCGACGACAAACCACGATTAGAATATCGACCCGAGATGGCCGGTTGTAACTTCAAAGACTAAGTAGCTTTACCACCTCTATCAGTACTACTAAGAGCACGGCTCCTTTTCTAAACTTCCATACGTTAGCCTTATGGCGAGTTGTATGATTTTGCGGAAACAGAGGAGGATTACGTTGGAGTTGAGGCTGGCAGCGTTGTTGTGGTATCTACCTTTAACCCCGTGCCGAGAAAGGAGTTAAAGTTAGTCGTATATTCGCCTTCATGAATAAGAGTTGGTCCATGAGCTGCCACAAAGATTGGAATTCACAGGACGAACGCACCTGCAGAGCTGCCGATGACTCGTCCGACGTCTCCTAAACTCGTCCGGTTTTCCCCTCTGTAAACCGCGCTCTCAGGGCCGATACTCTCCATGGAGAAGTACAGAGCCGAAATAAGCTCGACGAGATTTGGGTTATAACAAGCAGATGCCCCCCAGGCTACTATTGTGCCCAGCCGATGGGTCGCTTGGTACGGATGACAGTAAGTAACTAATGCAAAAAGTTCGTGTAGTTACGCTATAGTACGCCTTGGCAATATTATTTCATCCCCTACCAAAACCCCGCTTAGGGAGCCGCTGTACGGGATGGTGAAGGATGTCGCCCCAAAATGTAGCTATGATACAATTTTCAAGCCAGTCACACGGCACGGCTTGTATCAGGTTTAGGTCCACAGGCATTCTATCCGGGGTGGACCCATGCGACTGATAGCAGAGGTCCGATCGTCTTATTCACAGACTCAGGCCGCCTTCCAACTGGTGTATTGAGCGGATCAGAATTGTGCGGAGACCGAGCGTACCCCGATTAGTCACCCTCCAGCGGACGTTCTGCACGAGAGTTACAAGC